TCTGGATTTGTGGATTCAAATATTTGTGGGGGAGGGCAGAGCCAGGAGGCGGGTGGAGAGTGAGTGCCGGGGATGGGTGGGGAGGTGGTGGCATCTTCTCCCCTGGAGGCAGCCGCAACAGCACTCAGGTGGGGGGAAGGGTTGTTCCCCAGGCGCTGCAGGGGAACCCTGGGGACGAAGAGGGAGGTGGCAGCAGTGGCATCTTCTCCACAGCCTGAGGCAGCTATGGCAGTGCTCAGAGCAGCCGCGGCGGCACTCGGGGGGGCGGGGGGGGGCAGGCCGCAGGTGCTGTGGGAGAGCCCTGCGAAAAAGGGGGGGGGAGGTGGGCAGCAGGGAGCAGCTGTGGGGTGTGACGGGGAGTCCTGTCAGTATTCGCAGATTTCGCCATTCGCAGGGATCTCTGGAATGTATCTCCCGCGAATGGCGAGGGTCTCCTGTACACATAATCTGGTCATTGGAGGCCCAAGTGCTGGTTTGCACACAGTCTTCTATAACTAATACAGGGAACTAACACCAGCTTCTGGAAGAAATTATTCAACACAATGAGCAGTAAAGCAATGGAAGGGCTGTCAGGAAATACTGCAAGGCATTACCATTTCAGTTATTAAAAAACAAATCCAAGATGGGTATGATATAGGAAGGTCTTAAATGAAAACAAAAGTGTCATATTCTTTGAAGTGAATCATGTAAAGTAATACGTGAGGCGCTAATGATCCGTTTTGATTTAGGAAAGTGCTTTAGGGGTCGTGCGCACACGTTATATGCAGCATGTGAAACTTGCATACCTACATCAGTGAGACAAATCTGATATAAAGAGGTTAGCCTTATTTATTTATTTTTTTTTAAGAAATTATAATTAGGGGTGCACCAATAAAGATTTTCTTGATTGATACCGATAGCCGATTATTAACCAGCCGTATTGGCTGATACCGATCCAATAACTGATTTACGGGAATGCAGCTGGATAGCATACAGAGCAGCTCCCTGCAGGTAAGTCTGGAGGGGAACAGGTGTGGGGGAGGGAAGGAGTGTGGGGGTGGGGGCAGATCAAGGTCCCCACAGTGAGGGAGGGAGTGGGGCAGGGGCAGGGGGTGCTGTCCAGCGAGGTTGGTGAGCAGGCAGCAAGGCAGAGATTGGGGCAGAGCCGTGGGAATCAGTGTCCCAGTGCTTAAAATTGGCAGTGGCAGAGACTGAACTAAAGCTTGTCCAATGAGCTTTAGTTCAAGCGCTGGATAGCATACAGAGCACCCCTGCCCTGGCCCCGGGTCCCGTGTACTGCCCTGGCTGGGCAGTGCCCCCATCCCCAGCCTCTGCCCCTGCCACACTCCCTCCCTCATT